CCCTAAACCCTAATGTAGAAGCCTGAATAATTATCAATATCATTCCTTAGGGCTCCTTAGTAGATTTTGCACAATCAAACCAATAAAGCCCCTTCTAGCACCTCTATAGTTATCTACCATCATACACCCCACCTTAGACCCTAAATCCCCCCGAACTACCCACTCTGATCCTCCCCGGCCCCCCCTGAGCCGGCGGCGTGCACGATCTGCTCAACGATCTGCTCCACTTGCTGTGTGACCACCTGGGGAACCTGAGGGGCTTAGGGTTTTGAGCTTGGGGCTTGGGTGTAGGGTTTGGGCTTTAGGATTCCGGGTTTAAGGTTTGGTGTTGAGGGTTTCGGGTTAAGGGGAAAGGGCTGCTGTCAATACCACCACGATAGGAAGTATGATTATGATACGACTCTTACGGTTGATGATATAAATCCTGCATTACCTTAGGGACCCTAAACTATGGGAACTATGGTATGTTCTTTAGGTAATGCAGGCTTTAGATCATCAACCGTATGATTATGATACGATTCTTATTAGCATCGGTCTCCTGGTGTGTCGCTTCCAGCAGGTTTCAGAGAGGGCTCCCAGGTTGAGGCACCATGGATCCCATTCATTTTGCTAGGCTTTGGGGTTTAGGGTTTCGGGGTTTCGGGGTTTAGGGTTTAGGGGTTATGGCGTTTAGGGGTTTAGGGGTTGATGCAAGCAGTCAGTTTAGGGGTCCAAAGGTTCAGGGGTTTAGGGGTTCAGGGGTTCAGGGATTTAGGGGTCCGGGGCGTAGGGTAAAACTAGGGTCAGCGTGCCTCGACCACCTTCTGCACGACTTGCACCTGCCCAAATCAATCCGGATTGCCTACATACGGCTGGTCATGAGCTCTCCGCGGCGCTCCCCCACGCTCTTGCTACAACATGCAACCATCAACATTGCGTTCTAGTGTTGGTCCTGCTCATATACATCGCACCACCACTGCTGCTGCTGCTGCTGCTGCTGCTGCTGCTGCTGCTTCTGCCACTTTTTCTACTACTATTACCACCACTACTACTGCCACTACTGCTGCTGCTACT